ATCGTTAAAATTCATGGCTCCCGCTGCATTGCGCGAGTACACAACTAGTATATATATAGGGGTTGGTTTAAATACTAACCAAGATTTTTGTGTTAACTTTGTTAACCAAACTCAACCAATCATATTCCATTTTTTCTTTAGGTTCACATATAACTCATATATTAATGACAAGAGTAATTAAGTAATTTGTCATTTATGTAACTCCCAAATCATTAATCGAGAGTTACAAATCTAAAAATCTCAATAATTGATGAATATGTAATATTGATATTTTTTATACGTGTTCATGTTTTGTAATTTCGATTTATTCTATCCATAATTATATTGATTTTGTAATTGTTAAAGAATTTCCTATTGTAAAGATTTCGATATCGTCCGAGTAATATGAATAAACCTATTGGAAAAAAGATCGACGACAATGAGAATAAAAAGGTTAAAATCGTCTACAACTACAATCGGAATTCGAATTCATATGTAATTGTTAAAGAATTGTTCACAAGTGTTCATATTGTATTCACATGTACACTAGCTGCATATCTCAACATTGGCTTGCTACTGAATGTGTTCATAATGAAAGAATTATTGTTCACAAACTGTTCATATTGTGTTCATATGTACACTAGTTGTATATCTCAACATTGGCTTGCTACTGAATGTGTTTATAATGAAGGAATTATTATTCACAAACTGTTCATATTGTGTTTATATGTACACTAGTTGCATATCTCAATATTGGCTTGCTCATGAATGTGTTCATAATGAATGACCTATTGTTCACAAACTGTTCATATTGTGTTCATACCTGTTTTTTTATTTATTTACTTTCATGTAACAATTATTCTTATTATATTCATATTGTGTTCATAAATGTTATATATACCAAGTTCATATATATGTCAATTTTTGTTCGCATTTGACACAATGGTTCATATATATATGTGTGTGTGTGTGTGTGTTCATATGGTTCTTACATCAACAAAATAAATTAATAAAAATAATGAGATTTTTTGATTTTGTAACTCTCAATTAATGATATGGAAGTTACATAAATTTTTTTGCCTAAATACCCTTTTCTCCTTTGTTCACATATGTTCTTTGAAATTGTAAATTTAAAAATTTAATTTTTTATCATGATTAATCATAACCCTTTATTATAAGAATTCTTTGTCAAGATTGGTTAACAAAATTAACACAAAAATCTTGGTTAGTATTTGAACCAAGCTATATATATATTTGTCGAGTACGTTAGAAACCCAAAAAGCATACTCCACTATTGTGATGGTTGTCGTTTGGTGACTATCTACTCGTGTTATGTTTCGTTAATTTTTCTTTTCCTTTTTTTAATAACCATTCACATCAACATAAGATTTTTCTTGTCCATTAATTTACAAAATTCATAAAAAACACATTTTTTTACATCTCTCCATCAAATTTTAGAAATTCCAACCATCAAACACGGTAAATACCAAATCACATTATAATCATCTAAATTATCGAAACTAAAACCAGTAGAATTCATGATTCTTGATCCAAACGATCCTACTTCCATCTTACCGCTCATTTAAAATCACAAATATGGATGAAAATAGGAAGGGAATTGGGCATTTAAAATATCCGTCATCCCTGAACCCTCGACCAATCTCCGACAGGTTTTGGGGGGAGGAATCCTCGTTGAATATCCGTTTAGTAAAAACAATGTAATTTAAAATTAATTTATAATGAGTGATCACTAAATTAATTACTAATTTTGAAAATCAAATATATTTGTCTTTTAATGATAGATGTACACATATTCAAGGGATGTTTCATTTACAAACTAATCTTAGTCGTCCATCTAGTCTAGGAGTTGTTTGACAGTTATTGAATGGTTTGGTGCAGAATGATTAAATGGTCGGAATGAATAAGATGCTCTCGTGATATATCGCAAAATGAAATACAATTGTTTGGTAATTGTTTACAATGAAATTAGGACGCTGAATGGTTAAGGGAGACCTAAGATACACAATCACTCATAGAGTTTTAGAACCATTAAAAGACAAAAAAAAATTGTCAAACAAGATTCGCCTCTTAACGATTCAGAAACTGTCTATTAATAGATATAGGATTTTATTTTGTTTTCTAATTAAAAACCATGATCTGAAATAACCTTATTATCTTCCATATGTATCTCAATCATAATTAATTAATTATGATAATTATCCATAAATATTATCTCAATTGTTTTCTAATATAATGGTTCGTAAGAATTATATGGTTTGTATTTGAAATAAACTCTATATATTTATTTACAGACTATATACATATATTAAATAAATAAATAAATTATTGGGGATTCGGGGTCTGATTAGGGGCAGGTAACGACATCCCCGACCCCGCACCGTTTCGAGTATGAAAATAAATCCTCATGCCTGCCCGTTACCCGTCAAAGCGAAGAATCTCCACCCGGTTAGGATCGGGTACCTGTTGGCACCCATCGTTACAGGTAAAATTTACATCTATAATCATGAATAATAAAATTATTTTGTGGTTTTTTTTTTTAATTATTTAAAATTAAGAAAATGGAGTTATGTATACTCCATAATAGGAAGCATGTCCCGTTTTCCACATGAAAACACGGTTTTAAGGTTGGGTCTTGCGTTGACTTTCGTATCTTCTTGCGTTGACTACCGTATCTTTGGTGGGATTTTCAAGTGACCAAAGATTTTGCGTACGAGAAAAACGAAAAACGGGCCACAAGATCTATTAGAAGTTATGTCGTTTGTTTGACCATTTATCATGCATTAAAATGTATTATTTGAAATGCATTTTTAATTTTATATATATATATATATATATATATACATATATATATATATATACATATATAGAGGAGGGTTACGTTACAAAACGCCCAATTCATGAAAACTATGCAAATCATTTTCGACCAATTGAAAACTTCCGTTTTTTTTTAATTTTAATAAATAAGGGTATAATGGTCATTTAATTGTATACTGGTTAATATTGGAACGTAATAATTACTCTTAATTATGGAAACGTAATAATAGAAACATTAAATATAAAATGTGGTAAATCAATTTTTTCTTAATATAAATTTTTTACCACTAATAGTTTTATTATTTTATTAAGTTATACTTATTAAAATATGAATTGTAAAAACATTACAATATGAAATCTGATTTCATTTCATTGAAAAAATATATGTACTTTGTGCAATGAATTGAATGTCATGGTCAATAGTGACCATGAATACAATTTCACTGATGAATTTAATTTATTAATATTTCGAAATGTTTTATGTATGAAAAAGTTTCACTTACTAAAATAAAGTATTCAGTTTTCAAAATGTTTCATTCTTTATATGTGTGTGTGTGTGTGTGTGTATATATATATATATACACCTGAATATCCAACCCGTGATGAGAGCCGACTAATTCCAGGACGACGACCTGCTTTGCGGGTAGCCGGGAGTCACCGCATTCGAACCTCCGTGGCCACAAATTTTTTTTATTTCTCCTTAGATTTCATCTGAGACCTCGAGACACCATTCTTGTGGTTAATATATAATATTTTTATCTATGATAAAACTCGCATGCACTAATTGCATTTGGTATGTACAGTCAAGGGTGTTATTCGGTTGGTTAAATCGATTTTGTTCTGTTTATTCAATTCAGGTTAATGGGTTTGCAACATGATCAAAACTAAACGATAATGAAACTAAATTAGGTTCGATTTAATCAGTTTTGAGTTATTCAGACCGGTGACGATTAAACTGAATAAAAATCATACTTTTTTGTATGACACTTGCTTTAATAATTTTCTCAAATTTTATGATTGTTGTTTTTGGTGTAGAGTTATATCATCATACCCAACAATTAATTTGTATAAAGTTTAAAAAAAATAACATCTACCAACAATTAACCAAAAGGCCTTTGGCCTAGCGGTATTGTAGTCTTTGTCCTCTTAGGAGATCAAGGGTTCAAATCTCATCAAAAGTGAGGAGGGCGTGTGAGTTTATTTGTTGCAGTGTCATCTATAAATATTATATACTTAAAAAAAATGTCTATGAAAAGATCTTATTTCTTTATGCGACATTGTACGTTAAGAAAAAAAAAACGTAACTGAATTGAAAAAAAAAATAGTATAGGGTGTATTCGGTTTATTTTTATGAAATATGGAAGTAAATAAAATACTAGTAAAGTGTGTTATTCACTAAAACTGAATTGAAAAAAATTACAAGATAAAAGCGAACCAGTATCCTTATTCTGCTAATTGAACCATTTTAATCAAAATTCATTTGGTTCAGATGGATTACCGGTTTCAGTTATTTTTACCCCCTTATGAAATATGAAAGTAAATAAAATACGAGTAGAGTGTGTGATTCACTATTGGGACTGAGAACGGTTACTGTAACCGATTACAAGTACTCTTAACCGGTCCTTAGTGTTTTTGATGGGACTGAAACCGGGAGTCCGGGACCGAATTTTGACCATCACTACTTTAACCTGACCAACCCAATCCATGTGCAGCCAAGAGCCCTAGCCTATATAAGATAAATGAGTTGCTGTTAACCACAAGGGTGTTGCCTGATTGGTTTGAGCTTGGCTCCAAATGTCAAACGTACCTGGAGGTCTCAGGTTCAAATCCAAGGAGGAATAAAAATCCCCTTGTGGCTATGGAGGTTCAAATGCGGTGATTCTGGGTTATCTGCAAAGCAGGTGGTCGTCCTGAAATTAGTCGGCTCGCATAGCAAATTGGATATCCAGGTTAATAAAAAAAAATGAGTTGGTCATATGCATCAACTTTATAATATTTTCTTCTAAGCAAGAAAACATAAAAATCTAAAAGACCAAGTATTTGGGCCCAAAAATCAGTTTGGGCCTTTAAGCCTGTTAATGTTGCAATCACATTATTTGGACTCAAAACACCAACCTATAAAAGCTGAGTTTCTGAAAGCCTAATTGTTTTATGGTTTATGCAGTTTCAGTGCTTTGCTAACCCCAGTTCTCTCCGTCAATGGCGTTCTTCGATTATAGAGTATGTCTATCTCTCCATCTCTGTGATCTCTATCACGAATTTTCGAATCGTATGATTTTGTAAATGATCTATAATGTTTAATCGATCTGGTAATTTCTATAAACTGAATTATTGATGATGTAGAGTTTATCTAGATTCTAGAGCAATGCATTATGATGTTAGATCCGTGGATTCCATGAACTCCTCTGGATAATTCATGCATTGTGCAGTTTCAGTGCTTTGCTAATCCCAATGCTCTCCATCAATGGCGTTCTTCGCTTATCGAGTATGTATATCTCTCCATCTCTGTCATATCCATTACGAATTTTCGAATCCTATAAATTTGCAAATGTTTAATCGATCTGGTAGTTTCTATAAACTGAATTATATGTAGAGTTATCTAGAGCAATGCATTATAATGTTAGATCCGTGGATTCCATGAACTCCTCCGCTATTCGAGCTAGATTTGAATAATTTCTCACGAAAATATCCATGTTTTTGGCTTATAAATACTTGTTATTGTTAATTAAGCATCGTATGATGTTCATAGCATTTATAATCGTCACTGGCATTTTCCCATCGAAGAAATTGAAATTTTCATATGTAGCAAATTAATTTAACCCAAATCCTATTAGGCCTGTTCATGTGGCTTAATGCATTACTAACAATATTCAGTGATTGGTAAGTTAGAGGCGCCTTTAATTACCAAGATAGTAGAGGTTGAGTAACACCAAATCCATAAAAATTGGTATAAAAGTTAACACCATATTCCATTACGATTTTTTTTAAAGTATATAGTAATTATATACCTCAAATAGAACCAATAAACTCACACACCCTCCTCACTTTTGGTGAGGTTTGAACCTCTTACGAAGCGAAGGACTCACATACCACTAGTATGAATTTGCAAATGATCTATAATGTTTAATCGATTTGGTAATTTTCTATAAACTAAATCATTGATGATGTAGAGTTATCTAGTTTCTAGGGCAATGCATTATAGTGTTAGATCCGTGGATTCCATGAACTGCTCAGGTATATATACCAGCTAGATTTTGAATAACTTCTCATGTAAATATCCATGTTTTTGACTTATAAATACTTGACATTGTTACTGATTAAGCATCGTATATTGTTCTTAACACATTTGCCTGTGTAAAGCATATTCATAGCATTTATAATCGTCACTGGCATTTTTTACATCGAAGAAATTGAAATTTTGGTATGTAGCAAATCAATTTGTCCGAATCGTACTAGGCTTGTTCATGTGGCTTAATGTATTACTAACAATATTCAGCGATTGGTAACTTAGAGGCGACTTCAATTACCAACATCAAATCCATAAAAAAATGTTTAAAATTTGGTGCAAATGATAAATCTACTCCAACGGTTAACACCAATCACTAAACAGTAACAGTGTAACACCAAAATGTAAGATTGTGGATATATTTCTTTTTATCTTTTTCAATCAGTGTAAATGAATATTGTTATAACAAATTTGATGTGTAAATTTGGTTTGGTATCCCCATTGAAGTGATATGGTGTCAAATTTGATATTTTATCAACTGTGACAATTTGGGTTGAATGTTGGATGTCCGTTCATGCATATTTAGATGAATGCTGACTAACAACACAAAGTTGGTTTTCAAAAAGTTTATGTTTACAAAGACCAGAAAAACAAATGCTAGGGCCAAAGGGTATGATCTTAATTTTTTCATATGGTGGGTTTTACATGAGCCAAACTTTCTTTAAGGGGTTGTCTACTAAATGCTTACCGATAAGCGCTTACAGATTTCATTTACCTTATCGATTTTGCATAACAAGAACCAAGAACCTTACCCGGTAAGAGGATAACAAAAACCGAGAGTCTTACCCAATAAGCACTTACCGGATTTAAGACGTTCACCAATCCATTTTGATGCGAGATTGTTACATGATAAGGTAAGTGAAGGTAATTTCTATTGCCGAAAAGCACTTACACGTAAGTGTTCGGTAAACGGCTCCCCTAAGATGATAATGGTAATTGTAAGTGAGAATTTATGAATTGTTTCAGATGTCAATTTCTCTTTGATGGTATGCATATCTTCAATGTGGATATCAACACTTGAGAATTATGTTATGGTGTTAAAATACTTAAACTTTTCACAATGCAGTTTTTTATAGGTGGTAATTCTGATGAAAATGAACTAGATCTAGCCACAATCTTATAGTATTGTGATACAATTAATTAATTACCCGTCATCGTGTTGTTTGAGGACTTTGCAGCGATTGTGATAACATGATTTCTTATCTAATCTTAATGGTCCTCTAACACGATTCCTTATCTAATCCGGAGGATGGTATATGCCTTTGATCCATCTTTCGAGTACTCACAATGGTGGAGCTCTTTTTTTTTTTTTTTGAAAGGATCCTAGGTTATGTCTGGACTAATCCTGACAAATGTGATTGCAAAAAATCAGTCCTGATAAACTCAGTGGCCACAATTATTGGAGCTCTTTTAAAGAGCCTTTTCAAGAAAAAGTGGGACCCACTACACACACAAAAATATGTTAGTTATTTTTCGAACGGCAAATGTGGCCAATAATCCTCCTAAAAACTTACCATTATGATGCTCTTAAGTGCCGTTTACTAAAACAAGTGGTGGAGTTTTTTTCAAAACAACTAGTTGTAATTGCCCAAGAAATAAGTCTTTTTTTTTTCTTTTTCATAAAGCTTACCTGGTCAATAAGCTTTCAAATAAGCACCACTAGGGATCCTGTTAGTGGGAGTAAATGTGTGTTTGTTAGTATTTAATTAGCTTAATAATACTTATAATTTATTTAATCAGTTATATATGACTATTTGTTAGTGGGTTAATAATATAGAAAGTGAAATATTAAGTAACTGCTATAGGGGAGCAGAAACCAAGTTTTTTTTTTCAAACTTGTCTTCCCAATTAAGAAACATGCTCCTATCATCTATCAAAAAATCCTTTCAAACAAAAACTTTCCCGACTTAATGAAAAACCAACCAAACATTATTTAAATCATAAATGGAAAGTTACACGCTTCACGAGGAATTGTGAGAGATAATACTGTGGATGTTTTAAAACAAGAGACTTAGATATATGAATACTTCTGCATTTGTTACTTGGATTACATCATTTTAACCTCCATTTCTATAAGTATTAATTAATTCAACAAGGTTACAAGATTTCTAGTAATGTACATATATCTGCTTTAAAACCTCCTTGAAAGTTTTCATGATAAAACGAAAATGCATGCCATATCGAAATCGACAATTTGGGCATCCCCTTCCTATTCGTTCGAGTCTCCAGCACCCTTTTCTTTGCTTTAGTTGGGTTCTTGTTGGTAGGCAGGATTAGTCTTATTGTTACTGGTTTCTTTCCCTTTCTTGTTCAGTCTGTTCCTTGTAAATGTTGTGGTGTTTTTGTTTCGTGATGCTGTTCGAGACTTCTTGTTCTTCTCTTTCTCTTAGTAAATAAATTCTTGTTGTCTTTTAAAACAATATTGAATCGACAGAATTCTGCTTTTAAGGTGCCATATTTAGCTACCTTTTAATTCAAAAATGAGGCTAATAGTAATAGGGGTTCTTTGAGATAAGACATGATCTGCTGACTAGATAACTTAGCATATGCATATGGCCATAGCTTTAACTTTTTCCTCTTTGTTTTTACTTGTGGAAGTATCTTTCACTTCAATTATATGATTCACTATCTGAGCCTGGTTAATTATCGACAACCCTAACACGTCTAAATACCTGTCTTTTAGGAACCACATGTGAGGATGCATTTTAGAGTTGACTTAGCGGCTGAGGTTAGGAGAGGGGTTCGAGCCTGTTTGTCTTCCACAAGATTCTAACTTGAACTTGTCGACTGAGCTACATGCCCGACGCAAATTCTATTCATAAACAAGCATTGTTTGTGAATCTTAAGATCAAAGACAACAATGTTAAATTAGTATTCTAAAAGCATCTCTAACGGTTATGCTATATATTTTCTCTCTTTTCTTCCAAATTTGAAGATTTCTTCTTTCTCTCTCCTATTTTTCTTTGTTTTAGAGAAGTGTATAACATAGTTGTTGGAGCAAACTTTTCTCAAATCTTTAAAATTAATAAAATAACATAGTTGTTGGAAATGTTTTAATATCGTTATGGTTAAATTTTATATAAGAGATATGATATTAATATCGAGATAAATAGGTGCTTATTTGCAGAGGTGGATCTATAAATTTTTTAAGGGGTGGCACCGTAGCACAAAACGGAATAAAAATTGTGGCATCGTTAAGGACTGTAAAATTTACCCCATGCCAAAACAATTTCATGGTTGCATAGTGTCAACTAAGGGCTTACTATATCCACCCCTCTTGTTTGATCCGAACCATACCTAGGGAGTATGTTAGGATCCCGAAACAATGTAGGATTTGGCGACGGAGCGGCCAAGCCTGGAAAAGTCTAGCTTCGGTTAAGATGAAAGACAAAAGCCCCGGACAAATATAGACATGTATCTAGCTAGGTGGTGAGGCATCTCTTTGAGTTCCTATGAGCTTATATAAGCTCATTTAGCTCATATTTTGCAATCATAAACTAGCTTATTTTTTGAACTTATTACAAAAACTCTCGTTCGATCAACCATAAACTAGTTTTTTTTTTAATTTTCTCAAAGCAACGCTTCAATAATTTTCTGTGGTTTATTAATTTTGACTTTTTTCAGTTATTGTCCCTTATATCTTTTCAATTAAATTTTCAACATAATATTTAGTTCATTTTACATTTCAAATGCGGTGACTTCGAGCTACTTGCAAAGCAGGTGGTCGCCCCGATATTAGTCGGCTCGCATAGCGGGTTGGATATCCAAGTTAATCAAAAAAAATTATCAACTAATACTTTTTACCAAATATAATTAAGTTATCAACTAGTTACCAAACATAATCTGCTTATCAATTAATACGTAAACTATAACTTTAAACCGGTTGAGTCAGCCGACTAATTTTGGGTCATGGACCTTGTTTACTTCTTTGGTAGTAATGATGTTGCTTGGGTGACGTTTGTCAAGAAAAATATAAAGTTAAGATGTGAATAATTGAGGCATTTGTCTATTTTTTTTTAATGTGGGAACTTGGTTAAGTTATATATATTAAATAACACAAAAGATCCCAACCATCATCACCTTTAATTGCCTTCCTATTCCATTATTTAAAAGTGGCCCATGAATTTGTTGACACATCAACTTCAATTTTCAAATCCATCTCCACACCACAAGATTTACATGATCTTAATCTCTTCCATCCTTTTCAAATTTATTAACTCTTGCTTGAGTAGTTGCCTCTTACTACTTTAATACCAAAATTAAGTGCCAATCTTTGGATTTACACTTGATTAAAAAGTAAATACATTTGATGATGGAGGAGGGTGTTTACACTCATGGACAAATTACGAGATTTGTGAGATCTTCAGTTAGAGCACATCGATATACTATATTATTAAGCATTTGTCAGAAATTCGTAAAAATCATTTTTTATGCATAAAGTATTGTTTCTTGATGCATATTACTTAAATTCAAGATTACAAGTTGATTGTGCGTAAGTACAATTTATTAAAGCTTTATATTTGAATTTGCACAACTAACTGCAAATAAATATAATCAAATACATGATAAATATCTTATTTTAAATATAAAAAATCTAACATATAGTTAAGATAATCATTGAGTTGTAACAAAGTACTTAATCATTATTTTTATTAAAAAAACATCATAGTATTAAACCTAAAATAATACAAATGATATTAGAGCCAGGAATAGGGCCAGTGTGCCAACGAGGATACCATGCTCCCAAGGTGGGTAGATTGTAAGATCCCACTTTGGTTGGGGAGAAGAACAAAGGTTGTCTTACAAGGGGCTTCATATCTTTTATATCATACGCGTTTTAAAACTGTGAGTCGAGGTGCACGAACAAAACGGACAATATCTGATATAATTAGTCTGAAATGTTATAATTTCAAATCCAAAAATCATTCAAACCATACATAAGACTGAAACAGAATTCAATTTCAAGTCTTTTTAAATTCAATCAAATCCTACATGTGTACTTTGATTTAGAAGTCATTTTAAATTGATTTCATACTTTTTGTGTAGAATTTGTGCAAAGTCATGTCCTTCCCAAGTTCCAATGTTTCCATTCTACGTTTTTTTGTGAAAGATGAGTTGCAACTTCTTTACAAAGTCACTTGATAAAACTTGGAACAATACCATTTAACCAAATATAATTAGATGATAATGACTTGAAACAATGAGGAGGGAAATGGGAAACCTTTTTTATTTTGTCTTTGCTACTTTTTTGCTTTAAATAAAATATATATGTGTTTGCATGTTAAAAAAGGAATGTAGAACCAAAATTAAATAAACAAAAGTAAAGAATGCTAAGACCAATGTTACTTTTTAGTTGCTTGTATGGATCCAAGGTGTTTGATTGATGCACCATTTGGTAATTATGCTTTCCAATGTTCCCATCATACCTTTTCTTTTTAGTTTTACCAAGAGTTTGATACATTGGATAAGACAGAACATGATAAAGATTTATGTTTTATGTTTGACATGATTTTATATAGAATAGACATAAATAGAGTGAAATAAAGTGGATCAGGCATGTTCCACCCTTACCCGTTGGAACAAGCTGGAACAAACTTATATTTTATCAATATAAACTCAAAATAAAACTTAATTTTCTTTTAAAGCATCAAATAGGTCTTCTTTTCATATTTTATTCATTCTTTAAATTTTGTTTATTGTATTTTATGTTTCTTGGACTTTCATTTTACTGTCCTCAAAATATTATGTTTATACGGTTTCTATATTTTTATTAATTTATTATATATTATTAATAATAAATAATATAGAAAAGAGATAAAAATAAAAAATTGGAAACTAAATAAATTTTTATTTGGTGTTATTTTAATTGTTTTGACGCAAACTTTCTAATGATATATATTATGTTATAAAAAAATTATTTTATTATTTTAATTAAAATAAAAAAACTCATTAGGGATACATTGGTCATTTTACTTGTTTTGTTCTGTCCAGTTTTATCTTACCAAATGTTGAACAATTGTTCTATCTTGTCATGTTCTATTTTGTCCTGTCTGGACACCAAACACATCCTCAGTGTTAGTAAGCAAATATTATGAGACTATAACAAGAGAATGTGGAAGAAAACTTCATATGCGAATCATTGAAAAATCCGTTTGAAAATGCATATGTAAATTAAATCCATATGAATAATCTGTAATTTCAGTTCACATATGTATAAACATTTTCATGATATTTAACATTATTATCTAAATTGACCACTATCAAATTATTGTTTCTTGATTATAGTTGAGGTTAAAACAGGTACATAAGACGAAGGGTATCAGTGAAATTCGTTAGTTTTTTAAAATAAAATAAAAATTTATATACAAGATGATAATTTATTTCTAAACTGATCAAAACGTTAATCGTAATGGATGATATATAAGCTCACCTCACCTCCAATACCGAGTGATTAATGAGTACGTTCATGACCTTTATTCAGATAATTTATAATTGTTTAAAATAATTACATTTTGATAAATTGATTATTTATTAGATTAATTGTTAACATCAATCATTTTATTTATAGTTTATATTCTATATTGTTTAATATATTCTCAAGTTGTATTAACAAACAAATGGTTAAAATTTAATTCGATAGATATGAAATCCCAAATTATTAAAAAAAATATATTATATTTTGATTAAAAGAAACAAATGGATGTGCATAGCTATATGCCCATGGTTATTGTTTTTTTAACTGTGTGTAGAATAACTTATCTGTATTTCGACTAATTTAAAGACCTGAAAGAACGGTAATTTTTTTTAACTGTGTGTAGAACAACTTATCTGGTTGATTTGTTAACATAAATCTTAGCTTTTCATCACCAATTATGAACTATAGAAAAAATACCAGATCAAACATATTCACTATATTCGACTTAAAAATAGAGTTTATGTTTGGTAGGATATAAATAGATATTTCATATATTTGAAGAAATAGAAATATTGTTTCCATAAAGATTCTTGTCTTACGATATACGTTTATAATATACTTATATATATATATATATATATATATGAGTGCTCAAATGCAAACTACCCATATTTGTACAGACCGTGCAAACTATTTTCATCCGTCGATTTCATTGTTTAATCTTATAAAAAAAAGTTCATGAAATTGTTTAATCTTATTAAATTGTTTCATATAATAATTTTTTGATGAAGTTGTTTCATATATGGTTATGAAATTTTAATGAAACTGTTTCATGTATTTCTATAAAAATAATATAATGAAGATGATAATATTCATGCTTAACACATTCTACAATAAAAATGATCAATCAACCTCTCATAATTATAAAACATGAACAAATGAAAAATTATGATTAGTTAAATAAAGTTTATACGATTTATATAAATAATGTGATTTATAAATTAAATCTCATCTCTCTAATTTAACTTGTGTGATTCAAGATTATGTACTTTGTAGTTATATAAAGGAAGTGAATTCCCACATGGGTAATTTGCTCAAGATTTCAAAATAAACAAATAAATAAATAAACTTGTTCATACCCACCAAGAAATCTTGGTCCAAAACTCCCAACAACTTTCCAGTTTTTAATGATAATTATATATATATATAAATAGTATGGTTCAAATGTTAACCAAGTTTATTATGTTAATTTTGTTAACCATTTTCAATCAATGACAATTCATCTTATATATAGATTCATATTCATCTTTTAATTTAATGACAAGGGTAAATATGTAATTTTCTTTTTTATGCAACTCCCGTATCATTAATTGGCAGTTATAAAGTCAAAAAATCACATGATTTTTGTTAATTTATTATTGATCTTGTTTTTTTTAATAATATTGATTTTTCTATCTATAATGTTTTTGAATTTGTGATTGGTAGAAGAGACCCAATAGAAAAATTTTCGGTATCGTTCAAACTATTATGGATAAACCCATTGTTCATAATAAACCCATTGTTCATAATGAATGAACCATTGTTCACAAGTATTGGAAATCACCCACCTACTGACCATTAATTGTGGACAATTATCGTTCATCCAACAACTTTTTCAACAAAACGTATGATGACAACCAACACAAACCTTGTTTTTTTCGATATTACAAGATTGTGAGAATAACACGTATTCTTCGTTTATATTTTAAAAGATCTTGTCGTAATATTACTACAGACAGTATCTTATTACTTATACAGTAATATGAAAACGATATGCAAATTGGAAGATAAGCTTTCTACAATGAACATGTTTACGGGAAAGCAAAATTTAAATTCACTATGTATCTTTTAATAACAATTATTCAATATCTTTTTTTATAAAACAAGTAGAAGGGTGCTCGTATAATATAATGAGATATATCTCAATTTTGATGTTTTGTTTTATTATTTATATATGTCAATATAATACGGTTTTTAGTGGTTTTGAGAAAGGTATAACGGTTTTATTTTTGAATAAAATATAAATTTAAATATATCATAAAAATTTGGAATATATATATATATATATCGATATTAGTATGAAATTTACTATTTAAAGTTATGGTTTTTTGTGTAGTTTTCTTAATTTAATATTTTATTTATAATT